AGCTTGTTTTGACTGACTGACTGATGATATATGATGTGTTTTTTATATTTAATGTATTTACGAATTTATAGTCCGTGCCGAAGCTAACCCAATTCGCAACGCCTTCAGCCACAGCTGACTAGCTCACCTGCCCAATGTGGCACATACCTCTTTATTTCAGCTACTGTATTTATAAAAACAGAAACACACATATCGAGAAATACAGACTGGCCTGTCGGCCAGCAAATCGCGTTGGCGTTTAAAGTTGGCGTTGTGTCAACTTTTTCGGGGGTGCCACCACAGAATGCCCAAGAGAGAAGTGACTTTGATGAGCATCAGCATTGACAAGTTGCTGAAATTATTGCCGCCTGTCAGTTTGCATACGCATTTATTCACTCATCAGTGGGTCAGCAGGCAAAAGCCAGCAACCAACAACCATCAACCAGCAACCAGCACCCAGCAGCTATCTGATCATTTTCATTTGCATGCAACAATTATAATTAGCAGCGGGGCGGCCGATTCAATAGCCGCAAATCAATATTAGTCCGCTCGTTTGGTGCCTGATTTTGATTTTGATTATTGTTGCTGCCACTGATGAGTTAATGCCGCTAGCAGACATTTGTCGGACCAAAGCATGTTAAGCATATTTACAACATCCGTGTCCTTGCTTAGCCAATGTCATGTTCGCTGTTCATTTCGGTTTTGTGGTCCATGGAGAATGGCATTGGGTTACTAACTGGTGGCAATTGGGACGGATTTGTTGTGCGTCTGCGGTTACGTTTTGTTGACAATTTGTAGCGTAATTAATTGAAGTCAAATTAATAAAAGCAAACAACATAAACATAAACAGCAGCAGCAGCAGCAGCAGCCAAGCCGATGACGACAGTGCTGCTGGGGGATTACAACTGGCAACACAACTGATATATAATGTTAAATGACTTAAATGTTGACGGCCAACCAAATAAAAAGACAACAGCAGCAACAACAACAACAACAACAACAACAATAAATGCGCAATCACAAGTCAAAATCACGTTTCAATGAGCAGCAGACAAAACACAAACGAACACAGAGAGTCACAGCCATCGCTCACGATTAACTGGCAAAGATCTGCTGCTGTCTCCGCTGCTTGGCCTCTCTGCCTCTTGGCCACTCCACATCAGCTGGCGCTTTGTCTTTTGCAGTTGCCACTTCTAGCGCCTTCTCATGTTATGTTATGCTTTGTCAGGCAGCCAGTGAATGCGTATTAATTTTAACACACGATTAGTTTTAGATTATAATAGTTTTCAATTTTTGTAGTTTCGTGTTTCTTTTTTTTATTAGGAGCCATGTTAAAATTAGACAGGAATTAATTCTCGGGTTGTCAGTCAATTTCGCTGTCATTAGTTAATCTAAAAGATTTTACAACTTATTAATCCGACTCTATATACACCGACTCGTGTATTAAGCAATAAGTGAGAGTAATTTTAATTTTTATGCTGGTACGCCTACAACAAATCCATTTTCACATCAGATTAGACATTTGGATTCTGTGCCCACTGTAAATGTGTCACTCTTTGTAATAAAACATGCATCAAAACAATATCTTTTATAATGTTTGATGTCTTAACTTAACTACAAGAGCAATATTAATAAACATCATAATTATTCAATTTCGTAGTCAAGAGCAGATGACAAAAATACATTTTTGTACTTAATAAATGTAAAAATTGTGTGGGTGTTTTTTCTCCTTATAACTTCAGCACAATTTGAATCTCAATAATATACTCAATAACGTATTTATTTTTACCTTATGCATAATTTTTTAAAGATATTTTCTTATGAATTACAGCGACATGCTCGTTGTGAAAATAATGTTCTCATTAACATTATTGTTTGTCTAAATACAACTTTTCAAAGCCCACAAAAGACATTGTTGGTTACACCATGTCATTCATAAAAACCAGAGTGAATTGAAATAGCCCACACCTACATAGTTTAAGCCAGGGACACTTTCTAGTCGGCCGTCAACTATGTAAATTTTTTGTGTCTAAAAACAAGAAAATACCCAATGAAAATGCGTATAAAATTAATTGGAAACAACAACTTAATCGCGCGGCACTTCCGCTCTACACTTCGATGGTCGATTTCAATCTTAGCCAAAGATAGACAAAGATCAATCTCGTACCAAGCAGCTTCCACTTCCCCAAGTGGCTGAATCTATGAATGAATGAGTCGACGCAATGGCCCAGAGTGCAGGTGGTTGTTGTTTGAGTTCAGCTTTTGGTGCGTGGGTGGCTGCTTGGCTGGCAGTTCGAGTGTATTTCCGCTTGAAAGCGGCAATAACAATATTTGTAAAATAATAAATTTACGTAAAATATAAATAAAATCAACATCGCAGCGCCCCCGCACATAAGTCAGTCCAGCGCCAACGCAAAGCTCAGTTAACGGCAACGCCAACAAACAAGTCAAGAAGCTGGCCCAAAGCAATGCTCACAATTAGCCAACACAGCTTAGACTGTGACTGAGATTGAGTTGGAGACTGAGTCTGAGACTGAGACTTTGCTTTCTCACCGCTTTCCCAAAGCAGGCCATAAATGGCCCGACTTCCCAAGCGAGAGCACTACGAATCGTCGCCGTTCAGTACCCCCAAAAACGAATGATAGACTTCAAATCGCGCTTTGTGACCATATTCAGGCAAATGCGATTTGCAAGCTGGTAATTAAAAGCCAAAGCGAGTAGAAAATTCAAATGCGTGAATATACAGTCGCCTTAGAACATTTGCATAAGCAATTCACCAGCAGGGGCGTTACTAAAAAGGGGAAACTCTGTCATAGAATATACATAGAAAAATTAGAGATCTAAGAAAGGGGCGAAGAGTGTAGCAATAACGTAGCTTCAAGAATACTGGAGAATATATTAATAATCAAATTAAAAAACGAATAACAAAAGTAGAATCTGCTCAAAAAAAATTTAAATACCATTCAAGGTATTATAAGCTCAAAAGAAAAAAACCTGCGACAAACCCCATCGCCTAAGCTTCTGCTGATTTTCAGCATAAAAATAAACTAAACAAAATAAACTAAAAAAAAAAAGACATAAAAATAATCAGAATGTGACGTTTGTATTTTTAATTATGGCGCGTTTGTTCATGTTCCTGTCTTTGGACTTGGCTGTAGATTAAGTTGTCAGCATATTATGGCCAAATGGTATTGGCCAATTTGTACACTTATATAAGCATTTTAGTATGTGTGTTTGTTTCTTTATATTTGTGTCTTTTGCAGCCCCAGATAGCAGTCACTCCCCAAAAGCGTCACGATTCGCACGCAAATCAAATTAATGTTGCATGCCTTAATTTTTCACTGGCTGACCTTGCGACATGAACAAATTTATGCAGCTTACTTCAACAGCTGACGATGTTGTTGAAAAATTATAATCAAATTTAATTGTTATCATCATGATTTATATGTCTCTCTGTGGCAGAACAAAATAGCAAAGACCAACAATGACGAATTGATCGACAGACAAATGAACAGTCTGGCAGCCAGCTGCTGTTTTTGTTAGGTCGATCAGTCGTTCAGTCGTTCAGTCGATCAGTCGGTCTGTCGATCAGCTAACCATTTATCATACAGTATCTCGAGTGAACACGGCACATGTTCATAAATGTCGTCATGCAACTTGTTATGCCCGCAGGAGCAAATCCACTTTGCAATTACCGATTGCCTCCAGGCACTTATAATTATAAATATTTGCTAAAATAAATGACCATAACACAATTGTTATATAAGAGAGATCAACAACGAGCCAATTGAATGCAACATTGAAGCAGTTCAACTAATTTAAATGCCAAGTAAATGTCTAAGCGATACAATAAATTGATAGATTTGTATATATAATTAGAAGAGGCGCATTCAAAACACTTGCAATATTATACATTTTATATACTGATCTCTATGGGTGAATCAGTTCTGTATTCTTCGAAAAAAAATTCCTTTTGTTACTCATTAAAAATTCCCTAATCTTGAGATCATGCAAATCGCACAGATAGTAAAATATAAATTACTTTTTATATGTATGATATTACGATATTTAACTTGTTAGTCATTATCATGAGATTGCTCAAATCCTTTTCAAATTCAAAATCAAGTAACCAACAGTTATTTAACAAATTGCTTTTATAGTAAGTCTGTCAGTAAATCTTATTAAATTAAAAATCACATCCAAACAAATTGGAGAAATATTTAAAATCATGTTAAAGCTCAGCTCTTTTGTGTAAGGTATCTATAAAATAACAATAGTTTGTTTGACATATTATTCAAATTAGGTGTTAACGACTGATAGATTGTGCACTCAAAATACTTAACACAATTAAGATACTTAATTAACATGCTGAAGATGAGAGAACATAGCTATGCGATCATCATTCTGAATAGTTTCTAGTTATGCTTTAACGAGATCGAATGAAGTTCCGAAGTCTGCCTAGAAATCTTGAAAGTAGTCAGAAATGAACCCAGTGCAATCGTATTTGTTGGCCATAACAATGCTTGACTGATATATAAATGAATGTCAAGCGGCGAAGCAGCGACATAAATAAAAAATTAGTAATAAATTTAAATAAATAACTGCCTGGCAATATTAGATCATAGTGCTCAGAGCGCTGTCCAAAACAAACAAAATCTCAGAGAACACTCGAGCGAAATGAGCTCAACTCGAAATGAAAACGAAAACTCAGCACGAATATCAAAAGTGTATACGAAAAAATCACTCAAGAGCAGTTCCGAACTGAACCGACCGGCCTGCCAACGCAGAGACACCCACACAAGCCGAGTGAAACGAGTGGGTGAGTGGGTGAGGTGAGTGGTGCGAGCGGAACGAGTGGAGAGCACTAAGAACTGGTTTCTGTTTCTGTTTCTGTTGCGGCTTCAATGACGCTGACGTCGTCGTTGGCGTTGGCGTTTTGGGCGAGCAACGATCTCAGCGGTGGAAGTGGGTTTAGCGGTTTATTGGTCGGCTGTGCGAGGCTCGCTTCCAGCTCGTAGTCGTATCTGTAAGATACAAACGTAAAGTGCTGCTTTTTAATGCCGCATTTCATTCATTGATCGTTTCAATAGTGCGCCGCACGCTCAGCGCAACAGACAAGTGCCGGTGCCCGGGTTCCCGGATCGTGTTCTGTGTGGGCAACCAAGTCAATAACAAAAACCGACAGCCTGAAGTCAATAAGCCTACTCACTGACTTGGCTAACGGAGTCAAAGCCAAGAGCTGTTGCTGCTGCTGCTGCTGCTGCTGCTGTCCCAACATAGACGCACATAGCTGAGTAGACGACATTGACAACTGATGACGACGACGACGACGACGGCGACAACGTAAATCGCTGCTCAGTGCATAGCGGACAGGCGCTGCAAGCGGTCGCAGCACTCAGACAGATACGGAGACGTAGACGTAAACGTAGACTGAGGCGGAGACGGAGACGTAGACTGAGACGGAGACACAAACGCACCTTTCTCCAAGCAGCAGCGACGAGCGACGTGTATTTTTGTGCGCCATCTCGGGTTATTGGATACAGATACATAGATACAGACAGCGGCGGCAGTGCGCGTACTCACGGATATTTTTAGCAGCCGGCCGCACATACACTCATACACACACACACACATACACACACATACGTGCACAGTTGCAGGCACACGCTGCGGACACACGCGGCTCGCACGTTTTGAAAAATACTGTTCTTCGAGGCTTTTACAACATACAGTTGCAGTCTGTGTATCCATTAGATACTTTTCAAACTGCATCAAACTTATCAATCAAAATTAAAAAAAAAAACAACAGAATAAAATCAACGAAAATATTAAAACAACAAACTAAAAATACTGAAAATAGCAAAGGAAGAAGTATAAAAAAAAACAAGTTGTGCTGTGCAAGTTTGAGGAAATAAAAAGAATTTATTCGAAAAGAGACGAATAAAACCGAAAATCAAAACAAAATTATTTTTATTGTGTTAATCTGCCAAAATATGCATGAGGCAAGCGTTAATTTAAAATAGAGTCGCACCAGAAAAAAAATACAAAATTCAAATTCAATGACTAATTAGCTGGTGCTGTGGAATTTAAATTGATTAAAATTTGTTTTCGTATTATAACAATGTCTGCGGGTTAACTTTAGCGAGACAAAAATTTAAATCAAATAACAACAAATCAAAGTGTGAAAAAAGTACAAAAGAAAAAAATATAAATGTGAATAAATAAAGCTAATCTGAAGTTACGACAAATATCAAATTTAAATCTACAAAAACTACAACAACAAACAGCGGCAGGCAGGCAACTCACACATTTTTGGATTTATGAAATCAAAAAGGTAAATAAATATGTATGTATGTACACACATTTCATATGTTGTTGTTGTACCAATAAAAATAGACAAGCATATAAGCAGCAGGCTGCCAGCAACTGGGAGGGGGTCGCACCATGCTGCCTGGAGGGGCAACCCAGGGCGTGCCGCAGCGGCAAGCGACGCATTTATTTGCCCAAGGTGTTGAAAAGTTTTTGGTCCATTGAGGTTGAGTTGGGGCCAAGCAACTTGTCAACAGTTTTCATGTGCCACCCCCCTCCTCCTCCTTTCGACCAGCCCCAGGCAGATCCCTTCTTTCGTATGCCCCTTACGAACTTTATTGAGTTAAGATAGCGCCAAAGCGGAAACTTCTACTCAATTGAATAAAATTTTTGCAAGGAATTGCCTTAAGACAATAAATTTCAATCAACGCATCAGCTGTGAGTCACTACAAATAGATACTATTTAAAGCATTATTTACTCTGCATCACCTTTTCCAATTGAGCTGATCAATCGATATTTGTATATGGAAATTTATTTGGTTTGCCATCCATTCATATTCTCCAAAATTATTATTTATAGTTTATAGTTTATCGTTTTTGTTGAATTTGTAAATAAACATTTAACATTTTATTAAGAATTTTTGTGATATTTAATTCGCTTATGCAATACTTAAGCAAACATATTGCTATAATTTTACTTGATTAGAAATATGCAGATAAACACTAAGTTGTCACGTAATTCAGGGTTATATATGTATATATTTCAATTTTCAACTAAAGATGTTGCTTATCAAATCATTCAAGCATTTTTATAGCTTTTTAAAAATACATACAACTAGTTAAAATCTTTTTGTGGAAGCTGTGGCAAATATAATTCAATACTATTAATTTATTGTTGAAATTGTTAACAAAGTCCCTGACACCATGACCCAAATCTGTGTTGAACGTGGGAACAGCTGCTGTTGTCTTTCCTCTATTCAAAAAATTAGGAAACAAAAGGGAATAATTGGCTAATGACAAACGCCGCAAACCTGTCGAAAATCAGACAAATGAAAATAACAAAAAAACATTAATGGGTAACACAAAACCATACAGTGCTACCAAAATATCTGCACACGCACACACAAACAGACAGAGACAGAGACAGAGACTTAGGCATGAGACTGTGCCATCTCGAATGTAAACACAAACATATTACACATACGCAACGTGTGCCAATTTTAATAAACAAACTCAACTTAAATGGAAAATCAAACAAGCGAGCCAACAACAATAGGAAAAAAAAACACAACCAAGAAATGGCAACAAATCAACGACCAGCACAACAACAAAAGCCATAAAACAAAAATTGAAAGATGCAAAAAAGATTAAAATAAAACAGAAAAATAAAAAAAGAATTAAAATCAGAAGCCCGCCGCAAACGGACTAAAAATAAAAATCAGCCCAACGGCAATACACGAGGCGCTAGTGGAGACAGAGACACAGACAAAAACGAAGGAGTAGAGAGGCGAGACGAATGTAAAAAAAGGCGGCCACATGCAACTGGCAACAGCACGATACAACAGCAAAAAAAAAAAAAAAACACACACACACACACACACACAAATACACAAGACAAAGAGGAAGCACCAGATTTTTGATGCTTTCCACAAAAAGCAAATTAAGAATTACAAATCGAAAAAAAAAGAGAAAGAAAAACTTGCATACAATAAAAACTAATTTTAGAGCTGTGGCAAAAACAGAAATTCTGAGTCAGTCAGACTTTATAGAGATGTGCACAAAACGAGGGTTGCTTCTAAAATTGGCATATACATATTTAACACCATAACTTCATAGATCGCTTCTACCGAAGTCAGAATGTAGACTTACCTAATTGTAAAACACAACAGAACACGTCTGAAATGTGATGCTTATTGGAATTCCTTTTCAAAAATGTCCATTTATCTTTTTAGTCTGACCATCAATTTCTTGTTTCATATTAGTCTGGTTATTTACTTTTATTTAATAACCAGATCAGAGAAAAATGTGCTAAATCATTTCGTTGCTCCACTTAGAAAGATTTACAGCTTTCCTCGCAGACTTCCAGCTTTTTCCAGCAGACGCTTTATTTTCCATTTAACCGCACCCGGCTGCCCTCCTCCTACTCCCCCAGCTCACTCCTCTACACGTAGCCACCCACCCTTTGCGGCGTGCAGACAAGCGTGCAGAAAAAGTTCTAAATTTAATGGCTACACCTAAAAATGCAGCGACTGCAACTGCAGAGGGTTGGAACGGAATGGGAGACGGCACTCGTCAGCAGTTTCAAGTGCACTTTGGATAGACAGCTACTCACTGTCGCGCCAAAAAAAAAAATAGTACAAGCAATACCGAAAACAAAAAAATGAACCTCGCCCTGCGCCCCTCGTCTGCTGCCGGGTGCCCCTTCACGCCTGGCCGCACGCACGGCACGCCTTTTGTCTGCTGTGCTGTTGCATAGCAAAGAAAGAATTTAATTTGGAAAAAAAGCATAGAGCTTATATAGAGTACTAATGTACATATGGGAGTCACTATGCCAGTGCAGTTGCGCAAGCGCATTGGCATATCCACAGTGAGAAACGTTAATTATATATCAAATATTTAATAAAAATTATTATAACTGAAGTGAGGAGTCTCAAAAAGTTGAAGAATTAATCCATTCAGTACCAAACAATTGTTTGGTTGTTTTAATTAATATTTGAGGCAGTAATATTTTTAACATAAAGAACTGCAAACAAAACAAGTAATTTAAAGTAAATAATTAAAAAAAATAAAAATTTAAATAAATAATAAAACCAACAAAAAAAACGCCCTGATTAAGAACCCATTTATATGTATATAAATAAAGAGCAACTTCCTTATTTCGATTAAGTGAAAAGAAAGTTCATAAATACATAAAACTCTACTATTAAAAATAAAATAAAATCTTTACATCTGTTTGCCATCGATCTCTGTACATAAGTTTTTATTAGGTCCAATCTATTATCTTTAGCGTTTTATTTTTGTCAATTTTGTTGATCTACAATTCAGTGAAATGGATGTATTTTTAAATAAATCGAGGCTGGTTTGCTCACATAAAACTGATTTGGCGTGTTAGAGACGAAAATAATCAAAGATAATTAGTCTCATTTCCGTTGGCAGTCTTCATTTATAGTTTTCCCAACTCTTTTCCAACAAACACTTCATTTTCCATTTCCTTCTCGCATGCAAAAAAGACAATATTTGCGTTCTAAATTTAATGGATATCCCTTGAAAATGCACCGATTGCAACTGGGAGCGGCATGTGGCATGGGAGCTGGGGAGCTGCCTCACCAGTCGCTAGTCGCCAGTTTCAAGTGCACTTTTGAATAGACAGCTACTCCCTGCAGAGACCAAAACACACAAAAATCAAAATAAAACCGAAAACAAACATTGAAAAAAATGCCACTTTTGTTGCCCCCCTTTCACCCCCTTCACACCCTTCACACTCGAGCGCACGCCTAGCGCGCCTTTTGTCTATTTTGTGGCAGGAACAGTACATGCGGGGCGACCGGGTAATGGGGCATTAGTGGAATCGTAATCCATGTGTGTGCGCATTTCAATTGCTTTCGCATTGTGCAGCGCGAGCGTAATTGAAAACTTAAGCGGAGTGCTCGCTTCAAAATTTTACCAATCAACAAGCAACGAGCAAATGCAACAGCCAGTGCCGGTTCCTGTGGCGCTTCCTGCACATCCTGTTGCCACACCCACCCACGAAGTCAACATTTCGCCGCCCTTGCAACTGCTGTTTGTTGAACAGCATGTATTAGCCCTGAATATTGTTAATCGCATGCAATTTGTTTGGCCACACACACGGAACTTGCTAATTTTCACGTCGTTGGCTGGCCACCTGATTTCAGTATTAGTTGACGTGGTGCCGAAACCATCAGTCGCGTATTTGCAGTGCTCTTAATTGCAACTTGTTTCTTGCATGTCACGTAAACTTTTTGTGCACCTACTTACAATTACTGCCACTACTATTACTGTCTTCTCCCTGGGTACATCATATATATGACCTTGTTAAGAGCAAGCAAATTGTTTGTGATGCGTAGAAGCTCAGGTTTTCAAATCCGGATAAGATAAGAAAATGAATGATAATGATATAATCAGTTAGGAATGAACGAATATCTATAGAAAAATTTAATTAAAATATGCAATAAGTCAACACTTGATATATATATATTTTTTGTATTTTAAATATGCAATTCCATCAGATCTGTAGGTCATCCAATAGTCGTTAATTTTCTAAAAGGTTGCGGCTTTCAAGTTTCTATTCAACAAGCGTCGCGTGGCAAAAATTAATTGCCATGTAAATCACGAGAGCAACAAACCGAAATCAAAACAGGCACGAACAGAACAAAGTGAATTCTTTTTTTCCTTTTTTTTTTTGTATTATTATTTGTAGACCGTGTTGAAAGTGGCGGCTGTTAAAGAACTTTTCGAACTTAAACACGATGATTACGTAGTGCAACATATGAGATGTTGAGGCATGAGCATTAGTTGCTAGTTGGCAATTCGATGGTGATGGATCGACTTAAAAAAAATCTCTCCAACGGTAAATGATGAAAAGTGCAGCGTTGTTAGTCACGAGTAACTTGTTTTAAGCCACGAAGCGCTTGGAATGGTCAAAGCTATGCAACAAGTGCCAGCATCTAAAATCCAACCGAGACTGGGCCGGGCCGGGCCGGGCCGGGCCGTTGCAAGACTCTGTTGCCCATTTTGGCAATCTGCACTAAATTGCCCATTTAAGTGAACCTGACTCTCTCGGTCTCTCTTGATCGGAACACGCTGAGGCGATGATTGCAATCAATCTCCTCAGATTTACACCTCTGCACAGCTTGAGAAGTGGCCCGGCTATTTATGAGGCCAAGGCGCAATCCAAGCAGCAGACAAGGGCGTTAGCATCGATGCAGAAACACTCGTCATTTTGCTTAGGCGGTGGCAACTAGTTGTTGTACTTGTTGTTGTTGTTGTTGTTGTCGTTGTTGCTACTACTTTTGCTGTTGTTATTCTTGCTGCTGTTGATGACGCTGTGACGGGCCTCAAGTTACATTTCATGTAACTTAATTCTTGCATTAAAATGCATTCATTAATAGTTGTCATTTGTCTGTCTTGTTGTTGTTGTTGTTCTTGTTGTTGTCTTAGCCGCAACCACAAAAAAGATTTACATAAATAAAAAGGAAAAGAAAAACTTGTGGAAAAAGCAATGTAAAATATTTAGTACAGTTGACCTACCGCAAAAAAAAAAATGTATATATATATATAGAAAAAACTTTCTCAAACGTTCGACAACATTGTTTCAAAGTTGATGGTGGACCGAACATTGAAAGACAACTTTTCCAATGCACGTTGTGGTCCGCAATTTCATACATGAAAGTCAATTTTGGTCGTTGGAATTTTTGAGCTTTTAATTTGGTAGTTCAAGCAGATAATTTTATTTACTTCTTTTTTGCAAAAGATTCTGATTCTGGTGCTGATGCCTGTCAAAGACTTTAACTTTCAAATGAAAGCGATTTTAACTGGGACTCAAATTTGAGTTTATTATTTTGTAAAATGTTTCGCTAGAACGGCAAAAAAACAACTGTTTTTCTGCATTAACTTCAGTTTAAAGCCATTTTTAAAAAATATTATGTAAGAATAAATACACGTATTTTATGTAAGATGAAGTTGCTTATTTTTTATTTATGGATTATTGTTGGTTTTTGGAGTCTGTTTTTATTTTAGTTACAAATATATGTATTTTTGATTTAAATTAAAAAAATAAAAAGATAAAATGAATTTTGAATGATAAACAATGTTACATATTTAACAAATTTGGAACCGATCCCATTGAATTTATATGAATTTGTATTAGAATAATTGATGTCTTAGACTTATCTAGGCCGTAAAGCGAGGTATGGCTGTATAACTAAGATTTTTTCATTTTAACATCTTGAATTATTTGATTGAATTGTTGATTGAACCGCTGTTTTCCAAGTGCCCACAACTGAACAATGATATCAATGGTCATTTTCAATCTACATTTTCTCACATTGACCACGCCCCTTTCTGCCTGTGTGTGTGTGTGTGTGTCTGTCCAAGCGATTGATTATAGCTTTAAATTTGATAGGCACTCGTCAATTGCGCAGTAGCATTCAAGTTTTCATCGATTAGCATCTTTGGCCGTTTTATATACGAGATCTTTAAAGCGAACTGCAGCCGAGTTGCAAGTGACGCCTTGAGGCAACCTTTTTAGGATTAGCAACGAGTCGGGGAATTGATTATGAGTCAAGCTTCAACAATGCATGAATGCGAATGTATTTGTATCGTTTGCGATTGCGCAATGCAGTAAATAGTCAATAAGCAGTCGTCGAATTGGTTTCATGGAATCCAAATTTTTAAATGGTGAACCCTGCCCAAGAATGAAATTTGTTTATGACTTTTTGGCTGATGCGTTTTTCGGCTTCAGTGGGTTTTACAGCCGACATGAAGGAAGCGCCCACACCACCACCACCACCATCACCACTCGAAGCCCAATTTGAGCCGCTTACGGAAGTTACGCTCCATTGAGTAGCCCCTTTCAGAAGTCGATTCTGATAGAGAACAAGCATTTAGTTTTTTCTTTGTTGTTGTTTTTTTTTATTTATTTTTTTGGGGACAATTTGAACAAATTGTTAATTGCTTTTGATTGCTGGGGCGGCACAGCCCACGCCTAAGCCAAGAAACCTAATCAAATAAATTGAAATCCATGACTGACAGACTTCAAATTTCACTCATTTTGCAGATGAAATCCAACACATACGAGCTGCACAACTACGCTGACCTGGACATGGATTTGGACACGGATCAGCCCAAGGATTCGCGCAAGCGCAAAGCGAACCCAACAAACAGTCGACGTGGCGAGAAATACTCGCTGCGACAGAAGCGACAAAAGCGTCAGCCTAGTGAGCCCAACAGTCCAATTGGAATGACCGCACTGGCAGCGGAGGAGCAGCCAACCAAGGCAAATGCAACTGCAGCGACCAAGAAATCCAGCAAGAACACGTCCAAGGCGAAAGCGCCGCCGCTCAGCAAGTATCGTCGTAAGACAGCAAATGCAAGGGAGCGAACGCGAATGCGAGAGATCAATACGGCCTTTGAGCAACTGCGTCATTGTGTGCCACAATCGATCACCGGTGAGGATGCAGCCAATGCCAGCGAGAAGCTGACCAAGATCACAACGCTCCGCCTGGCCATGAAGTACATTGGTATGCTGAGCGAGTCTCTGCAGGATCCCAGCTATGAGAGCGAGTTCCTAGTCGAGTGCCTGCACGAGAGCGCCAATCGCGAGGCACACATCAGTGTGGACACTGATGCCGAGCTGGAGCCGGAACCGGAGCCAGAGTTGGAGGCTGCGCCGCCGAAGAAGAAGCAGACGAAGGCAAATAAAAAGACAAACGCCAAGCGACAAAGCAAACAGTCTAAGGCAAAAACAACAACAACATCAACATCAACAACAACAACCGGAGCAGCAGCAACAACAACAAAAACAGCAGCAACAGCAGCGAGTTCACCGGAATCATGTTATGCCTCCTCCTCGGTGGGTTCACCAATCTGTTGTGTGGCCGCCCGTTCACCTAGCTCCGCATATGCATCGCTTTCGTCAGCCGCCTCCTCCAGCTCTAGCTCCTCCTCCTCTTCCTCATCGAGCAGCAGCAGCAGCAGACGAATGTTCGATGCGGACAGTCTGCTGGGAGGCATACAGGCACTATCGGAGCTCAACTCGCTGCTGATGGAGTCGGACAGCGAGTCGCTGCACTGCCTCAATGTCAACGCATATCAACAGGATCTGCTCAGCTCCGTGTCGAAGTCAGTGCTGCCCTCGCGTGGTGATTTACCCATTTCAATGCACTCACCGCTGGATAAACCTGATGTGGAGCTGAGTCTGAGGCTGCTCGATCATTCGACGGATTCGTTTGACTTTGCCAGCGATCAGCAGCCGTCAGCGTGCATTAGTCCTTTGGCAACATTGGACACTTTTCATCCGTTTGCCGATCTGCTGCATGTCGAGTTTCCAGACATTTTCCTCACGTGACCATCTGTTTAGTTGCATGTTTATGAATTAATTAATTAACTATTAATTATTGATAATTGTAATTTGTTATTTGCTGAGCTTAAGTATAATCTAGGTTTTATTTAGATGTAGTTGCGCGATAAACCTAACCTCACTTTAGCAATAGCCGCGGAATTCATCGTGTCATAGCAGACAGGCATACAGGTTATGCACAATTCTCACAGCAAGCAGCCCATGTCCATATGTGTTTCTTTCAATAACCAAATTAGTCAATTAAGTAAGCATTTCTCTAAAGCATTTTTTCGCTATCTCTTCTTATCACAATTTTCGTAATGTAAATGTAAAATAAAATACAAGAATGTTGTTCAATCTGAAAATACTGTCTTTTCCCAGATGCTACCGTAAGCGTGCAGTGAATATACAAATTTTCAGCTGTGATTCAATGGATTGTATTTCATAACGGGCAGGTACACATGCCTCACAGCTGGCAGCACTTGTCCGTTAACAGATATAACAGACATTCAAATTAAACACGAACTCTCAACTGGCAGTTAACTAAACTAACAGCAAGAAAATCACAAAATTGAAGGTTAGTTAAACGCCACCTAAAAACACCCCAAAAACACAGACAAAATGGATCTATGACAATTGACCATTTTTATATTTCTATTATATTTCTTACAAATATATTTGAATGCCAAATGTTATATGATGGATCCTAAGTAAATCTGTAAATTCTTTGCGATATATAGTACAAATTAAAAGTGCATACATATTATCTTGCAAGAACATGACCAAGTACGATCCCGAGTTGGACTTTCCCGAGGCGTATAAGATGTGCAAACCCTTCATGCTAACTGACGATAATTTGACATCCATACGGAATTCAATGACGCAGGAAGTAATCGCCGGCTTGGGGCGGGATTCGCATTCACGCTCCTCGATACCCTGCCTGCTCAGCTATGTGCAGCATTTGCCAACGGGACGGGAGCGGGGACGTTTCCTTGCCCTGGAAATGTGGCCGACAAACTGCCGGATTATGCTGGTGAAATTCAGCAGTGAGAAGGACATTTACATGAGCTCCAAGTGTGTGATTGTGCCACATACGATAACGGGATCGCGTGGCACAGTGCTTTTCAATTTTCTGGCCGATAACATTGCGATATTCGTGAAGGAGAAGAAGGTGGAAAAGGAAAATCTGCCCATGGGCGTGGCCTTTTCCTTTGCACTGAACAAATTGGCCCTGGATGTGGGCATTCTCATCGCCTGGACGAAGGGATACGGCTGTCTTGGTGCTCTGGGCAAAGATGTTGTGCAACTGCTGCGAAATGCGCTCTCCGAGCACTCGGACATTGCCGTCGACCTGGTGGCCATCGTCAACATTTCAGCTGGTTCTCTAATGGGCTTGTCATGGTCGCAGACCAACTGTAGAATGGGACTGACTGTGGGCACCGGCACAAATGCCGCTTATGTGGAGCAGACCGATGAGTGTCAACTGTTCGAGGGTGACGATGACTTACCGCTGATGATCATCAATTCGGAGTGGGGCAACTTTGGCAACAATGGCCACCTCGACTTCATACGCACCGAGTTCGACAAGATTGCCGACTCGCAATCAAGCAATCCCGGCTTGAAGTACTATGATAAGTGCATCAGCACCCTGTATCTGGGCGAACTGGTGCGCCTCATCGTTGTGCGGCTCATGAAAATGGGCGTCATTTTCAAGGAGCACAATCTGGACTACATGGGCATTCAGTGGAAAATGGAAATGAAATCACTTATGGCCCTCGATTCCGATCCACCCGGCGTCTACGATCAGGCCCAGCTGGTGATGGACAAGTTTCGCATGCGCCACTGTGAGCAACGAGATCTGGCCATGCTGCGTTTCATCACCCAATGTGTGACAGATCGCTCCGCCAAGCTGGTCGCCGCTGGCGTCGCCTGTCTGCTGAATCGCATGGCCTTCGCCCACATCTCAATCGCTGTAGACGGTGGCATTTATCGGCTGTATCCCAGATACCAGCTGGTCCTCAACAAGTACACCAACCTGCTGACCAATCCGATGCACAAGTTTGACTTCGTCATTGCCCAGGATAGTCCGGGTGTCGGCGCTGCCATTGTAGCCGGTCTGGCAAGGAATTTGAACAAGTTCAGCGTGGCTTATGGCTAGACGCTAAATTCAATTTGTATTTGATTTTATATATTTAATTAATACAAAGACATGTGGTGAAAAATAGCTATTAAATTATAGTTAGTCAAAGATGTCTTTAATAAAAGCTGTATAAAATTCCATTATTTTCATATATCCATTTTGCGCATTATTGTTTTGATTTAAATCTGACAAATAAATTTGGAACTTGCAAGGTTTCATTCTTAAATTCATAGTCGTATCGATTGTAATTTAAAAAAAAAATCCGAATCAAGTTCATTTTGAATTTGCTGACGCTCGAAACAAACTTGGATGCACATTACGTTTTAATATGTTAGGGAAAATTTGTTTATATTTCAACTCGAAAAATTCAAAATTGTTGTTACCCAAATTAGCATTCCAAGTCCTAGTCTAAAACCATTGGAAATGGCTCAACAGGCACAGTACCCGGAGGCAGTTGAGATCTTGCAGCATTTCTCGCTTAGCGAGGAGAAGATGCACGAGATTATCCACCGTCTGACCAAGGAGATGAACATGGGCCTGAAGAAGGAGACCCATCCCAGAGCGACTGTCAAGTGTTTCGTCACTTACGTGCAGGACTTGCCGACGGGCAAGGAGCGGGGCAAGTGTCTGGCCCTCGATCTCGGCGGCACCAATTTCCGTGTTCTGCTCGTAACGCTGAAGAGTGAGACGGATGTGGATACTGAGTCAAAGAGTTACGTGATCAGCAAGGCGCTGCAAGAGGGGCCGGGCAAGCAACTATTCGATTTCATTGCCGAATGCTTGTCGGACTTTTGCAAGGAGCACAAAATTGAGAAGGATAATATTCCGCTGGGATTCACCTTCTCCTTTCCGTGCAAGCAAAATGGCATTGACAATGGCACCCTGGTCGCCTGGACGAAGGGCTTCCAGGCCGATGGTGTTGTCGGTAAGAATGTGGTCGAGTTGCTCCGGGAGGCCATCAATCGGCGTGGGGACTTAAAGGTCAAAGTTGTGGCCATACTCAATGATACGACGGGAACGCTTATGTCCTGCGCATTCCGGGAGCGCAATTGCCGGATAGGCATGATTGTCGGCACTGGTAGTAATGCCTGCTACGTGGAGAACACGTCCAATTGTGAAACATTTGAGGGCTATCAGACGAGTTCCAAGCCCAACATGATCATCAACTGTGAGTGGGGTGCATTTGGGGACAATGGTGTTCTGGACTTTGTGCGCACATCCTACGACAAGACGATCGACTTGGAGTCAGTGAATCCGAAGAAGCAGATCTTCGAGAAATCCATTTCGGGCATGTATATGGGCGAGGCAGTGCGTCTTATTGTTGTGGAACTGATGGAAAAGGGGGTCCTCTTCAAGGGAAGAACATCGCAGACCCTGCAGCAGAAATGGATATTCAATACCCGTTACATAACGGAGATTGAGTCCGATTCGCCTGGTCATCATCGGAATGCCGCCATGGTCTTGGATCAATTGGGCATCCGCACGACCAATGAGAGGGATTTAGCCTGTCTGCGCTTTATCTGCGAGGCTGTATCGGTGCGCTCCGCCAAGCTGGCAGCCTGCGGACTCGTCGCTCTTATCAATAAGATGAACGCCAAGGATCTGGTGGTGGGCATCGATGGCAGCGTTTATAGATATCATCCTCATTACCATGCGCTGCTAATGGAAAATATGAATTTATTGCTGAAGGGCTCTGTGAAGTTTCAGCTAATGCTCTCTGAGGATGGTTCAGGACGTGGCGCAGCACTAATCGCTGCTGTTAGCAACAAATAATCGCAAATTTATTAATAAACTTTGATTATATTAGTTTTTCACTGTTATATTTAAATTTTGTTATATTTACATAACGCTCAGCAATTGACATGCAGCGAGGTGTGCGTTGCGTAGCATTTAGTTTCCAATGCAGCCGAAATGTTAACAAAATTACCGATCTTTAACATATTTATCTGTTTGCATTTCAGGAATTTTTACTTTATGAAAATAATAGTAAGAAAATTATGTTACTCTATTTTTATTAGAAATCAGAGTACCCAGTAAACTGTATGTAATGTTAAGCAGAGTACTCAGTAAACTGTATGTAATGTACAATTGACTCAAATTGCTCCTCAGCTAACATTTACATTTCCTGTTAACATTAACAGTCGATAAGTCGATAAGTCTGTCATTTCTGGTATTTTTGGCATTTTAGGGAATTGTAAGTGTACTCAGCTAAGTATTTAGCTGATTGCTAGTTGCTACCACATTGATTACAAAACTTGTGCCGAAAAATTTCAGAATGTACGTAATTTAATAATTGTGCGCACAGAGCAAGAAAACTAATCCAATTCCGACAGGTATGCACTATCCAGCTCACTTGTGCGCTCGCCAGCTCTGCGCCAGGGCCTCCAAAAGGTCGCCGCCAGCCGCCAGGTGTCGCTGAAAGTGGTCTCCGTCGGTTCGACCAACAAGGATGAATCGTACTTCGAGAAGAACGAGCGTCTGGGCCGCGAGATGTCACCCCATCTGACTATCTACAAGCCGCAGCTGACCTCCATGCTGTCGATCATGCACCGCGGCACCGGCCTCGCTCTTGGCATGGGCGTCTGGGGCCTGGGTCTAGGCGCCCTCATCGCCTCGCAGGACATCAGCCACTATGTGACCATGGTGGAGGGACTACAGCTCAGTGGCGCCACTCTGACGGCCATCAAGTTCATCATTGCGTACCCGGTGGGCTATCACTCGGCCAACGGCATCCGCCATCTGCTGTGGGACACGGGTCGTTTCCTCAAAATCAAAGAGGTCTATTCCACTGGTTATGCAATGGTCGCCGCCTCCTTTGTGCTCACTGCGATCTTGGCCCTGCTCTAGATTTCCTTATTAAATCTTTATTAAATTCTAATTGCGAACATGTCTTAAATTTGTTAAATGCATAATATATGTACAGTTTATTTATACAAATGTTATGTAACAATTGTCGAGCGTTTGATTTGTTACTGCTGCGGCTGCTGCTGCTGTTTCTGCCAGCGCCTGCAATTTAGCAAATTATCAGATATCGTGTTTGTGTGATTATAGCCAGCTCAATTTATTAGTCAACTAGTAAGCCAAGCAGCTAGAAGTCCGTCGATATCTATGCCTCCTACGCAAATACACTACTTTTCGCATTGGATCTTTTGATTTTATCACTAAATATGGATGTATGCCAAAGCAGCAGGGCAGGTGTTTAGTTCAATGCTAATAAATATATTCATTTTAGTATGTAAATGTATTTATATTTAAAATACTTTACAATACTTAAGACATGATGCGCTATCAAAATAAATTCTAAAGGATATGATTAGAGGACTTGATTGTATCTAAGATATCTCTGGTTAATGCTCAGTAAAATCAGCATTATTAAATCTGTGAGGTAAATAATGCATACAAATGATTGATATATTTTAAATGTTTTTAAGCTTAAGAATAAGTAATCGTCTGTATAAAAAATCCAAGATTTGAGTTGCGTTTTTTAAGTAGCTATAATAAATAGTGAATGTTCCATTAATAAAGTAAAACTTAAAGCATTAGGGGGGACGTTTTACTGACAAGCTGCATGAAACCGACAAGTGTCTTTTATAAAAGTATCTTCTGTAAATAGCCTTTGAAAATGCGCATGGTCGAATTGAAGGGTTTGTTCTTGATGCTCATGCCCATTCGAAAAGTATGCCGCGTTGTTCTGTAAAGTTTACAAATCTTTGTCCAGCCAAAACTCTTACTTATCTGTAAGAATCGTGAAAGAAAACACTTTTTTTGATCGATTCGTACACAAGAATCTCGGGCATTCATCAAAAACACTTCGAGTAAAGTTATTAAATGGATGAAAATCCAGCAAACTGTCTAAATAAAAATACATATTTAAAAAGAGAAAATTGTTCATAACTCGATTATATTTCTGCGAATCCTGGTGAGGTCTGTGTGAAACACTTTGTTTTGACCACGGCTAACATCTGGTCAAAGGACATGAAAATCGTCCTTTTTGTTTCTGAATAAGAAATGAATTTTCGAATTTAGACTCATTCTCGTTCGTCCTACAAGTACACTCCTTAAAGTATGCCACATTTATTCTACTAAGAGACTTAGCTAATACACAAACCAAATTTTTGTCATACTTTTACAAAAATCTGCAAGAAAAATATTGTTTAACCTGACAAAAAAAATACATTTTTTTTATATAAAGAGTGTTGGTTTCTTGTATAATTGCGTGCAAACCTGTGAAAAATACACCCCCAATAAAATATACACAGTTAGATTCGCTTATTGGTGAAATTTTTGTTTAATTTCGTTTAGCAATGGTTTCTGCTGTGTGCAACATTCATATACAAGAGGCTAAAATATATCTAAGAACTAATATCACAATTGATTATGTAATTGCTGTTTGTGTAGTATGTTTGTTTGTTTGTTTGTTTGTTTTGTGCTGCTGTTGCTTTACTGTATGGTGCCATGCGAATTGTTTTTGCTATCTTTTTGGGATTCATCGATTAGCTCAAAGTCACAGACCAGCGAGAAATGATCCGAGGGATATTGAAAGCTGGGCGTCCGATTCTTGCCAATCTGCTCGCCGGCTGGAAACTCGAGGCAGTTCTTGATCTGCACAAAATAAGTGTACAATTTAAGATGCTGGTTAGCGATTCTGTTTGATGACCCGCCCACTTACCTTCAGCTGGTCGGACGTGTAGAAAACATAGTCAATGGTATGACACTCCTCACCATCCTCGCGTATTTTCCAAGTGGTGTAGGGCGGCTCGCGTTTTATTGACTGCGAAACGAACTCATTAACATCCTCCAGGCTCTTAGGTATCTGTTCTTGCTCTCGCTCCCTTTCCCTCTCTTTTTCGAGCTTCATGTCCGCATAGGCACTGCCTAATTTGAGCAGATCGCAACTCTGATCGTTGCATAGATGGGCTCAATGGGCTCTGCATTGAAGTCACCACAGAGCAGCAGAGGACTCTCACCGGCAAACTGCTTGACAAAACGTATCAAATCGCGTCCCTGCTCGTTACGCAGCTTGGCCAGCAGAGCGCCATGACGAGCCTTCAAATGCGTGGTGCAGACGCAGAACTCCTTCCCAGTATCCTTCAGCTGTAGTCGAGCGGCGATGGCCACCTGATTGCTCTGGACACGCCACACCTCCAGGATGCGTGTATCATAGCCGATCAGCTGCAATTTGTCGCGCTTGTAGAATATGGCACAGCCATCGGGACCATTGTTCTGCTCTATGTACAGACAGGGGGAGTCTGGCTTGGGGAAAAAGATGCCGTCATAGTTCTGGGTGCCCAGCACAGCTTGTAGAAACTTGAAGTGATCCACCTCCTGTATTATGTTAAAAATGTTGATGTTAAAGCGCGACTGCTTGCCACTTAAATGTGGGCATAAATAAATACTTGCAGACAAACAACATCCGGCTGGCTCTGCAGTATCCCCTGCACGATCAGATACTTGCGATGCTCCCAAGTCAAAGCCTCGTCGGGGCAACGCACAAAGCCATCGTTGTGCTGGCCGAGAGCTACAAGAGACAGAAGAGAATATCGATTAAAATAAAATGATCACTAATTGAAAAATATTCTACATATACTTATAATAATCATAGAATAGAATATCACAATATGCTTAAAATATAATAACTGTTTATACACAATTCAATTACTTCAATCTATACACACACTCATGAAAAACTCATTAATTTCATAAATAATTTATTCAAATGATTTCATCATTAGTCAAATATATATTTTAATTTTATGTTATTTAAATGCACTTCTTAAATTAGAGCTATTAGAAAGTAAAATTGTTTGTAGTTTAGTTTTTATTTTAAATGAATTCTACTCTTGAAAATGAGCTTTTATAAGTAACTATAGAAAATAATTAATTTATGCAAAATATATGATTTGCAGTCCACTTACTTTGCGAGAGAATGTTCCACTGCAGTAACCGTATTTGCTGGGCACCATCATTCTGAACGGGAGCACTGCAAACTGTGTGTGAACCGCAATAAATATACATGTTCAGGATGTGAGAGTTATGTGAACTTACCACGTGAGACTGAATTGAGTTTGAGACAGCGTAGACCATCGGTGACATCCTCGCTAAGTGGAGATGGCTTTAGGAAGCATCGGGTGAGGAGTGCGGGCTGCTCGATGCCTCCGCCCCGCAGTTGGTGCACATGCTCCAGCAGTGCGGCAGTGCTCAATCCCTTGGGCAGCTCCAGGCCATCGTCCTGTGAGTCCACATTGTTGATCTTGGGTGCCGAGTTAAACGAGCCCATCCTGAGGATTATCAAAAATAGAATGATTAACAAAATGCATTTGTTTTAAATTACACTGAATATTTTCACATAAATAGTCCTCAGCACATTCTTCATTCGATCTTATATGCAAACATACAAAATTAAACAAATACATTTTCAAATAACCACAGCAATTAGGTAATTTATATATGTATTTAATTTTTTTTAATTTTCTTCATATGCATTTTAATCGAAACTATGACAAGTAAAACACGGACTAAAACCAATGCTTTCAGGCCCAACAATAATATCAACAATAACCACGAATTAAAAGCACAACAATAGCGTTTTAACAGCTTTTGCAGATCAAAAGCAATTGGATATAACGCATTCAAATACTCACAATGCATTCGGTTTTCTATATAGAATTTTTCGTAGTATTATGCTGAAAATGAATAAACTATGACTATGCCTTTCACTGTCATAGAACCTTGCCATAGAACTTTGAACTCTGTAGAAAAGAATATGTGGTGAAACAGTTTGTAATATATTATTTGGCATTTTGTATTTTTAATTGAAATTGAGAGTGTTTGATGGTGTATTTTAGTATGTTGGCTTGATGGGGTATTGCAAGTTAAATCGATTATTTTGCAAGGATTAATTCTAGCACGCGCAGAAGCATATTAATTTCATATAAATTATTTTACAATTAACATGAAAATTAATTATTATAAACTACTAAATTCCACCTACAATCGTATATAGAGAGCTTTAAGTATATGCCTATATATTTATATTTCTACAATATATTAATACTTCAATGTTAGAAAAAAGTATGAAGTAATTTATTCTTGTAAGAATTGTCTATTATTGACTGTAATTAAATATTTTAGCGCTGCACATAGAAACTTTTTCAAATATTTTTTTTTAACTTCCTATATCTATTGGTTCTTGTCTACAAGCATTACAATTTTTATCTAAACATTTATTTTAACATAGAGGGTAAGGAATATTTGGAATTTTAATATGTATTTGTATTAGAATAGATAACTTTCTGAGCATCACAACTTTGAAGCTTTAAATGCCATTAAATGCTTTTATTTTGTGGACAACTTTATGTTTGCCCAAAATATTGAAAAACGGAGCAACTAGCTCGGACTGTGTGAATGCACAAAAGTGATGCTAGCTAGCTGGCTTCAGCTTCAGTAGCTTTCACAGCAGCTAGAGAACCAGATTCATGCCACTCAATGCCCACCCACACAAAAGACGAGGCATGGCGAGGCGAGAGGCACGCGGCCTGAATACAAAAAAAAAAATAAATAAAAATAAAATATCGCACACAAAGAGGAAAAAAAAGTGGCTCGGTCAATAGCTTTACAGCTGTTTAGCTGGTTTTCGGTTTTCGGTTTTTGTTGAAACCAGTTGGAAGCGTTTGTCAACGCAATCAATCAATAGAGTGCCCAGTCTCACCTGGTCAGCATCACCCTTTGCAGGTAGGCCTTGCGATCGTTCTTGCAGGGCGGCTTATTGGCGCGTTTCAATTGCATCGCTTGCTCCATATTCTGGCTGGCAGGATCAAAAGCGGGTAATTGCCGTTGTTGTTGTTGTTGTTGTAGCAGTCGATCGGAAATTGGTATTGGGTTCGGGTAAGTTTTGCTTTGATTGTGGGTTTTGCCGAAAAATGTGCGAAGTGCGCTTGTAAGCGACATTTGCGAAACTGAATGGCAACTGAAATGCGGCGTTTTATTAGAGATCAGCCAGCCAGACAGACGGAGAGACGGCGAGACAGACAGGGAGAGAAAAAAAAGAGAGCAAACACGCATAAACGAGTATTTCAAGACAAACACACACTCACACACACACATAAGTGAGATGTATCTGCAAGATACAGAACAAGATCAATACGTTCTACTCACGTGCGTTGCTCAGTTGGGCGAAAAATGAGCAGCGTAACAAGAACAAGAACAAAAACAACAATAGCAATAGCAATAGCAATAGCAATAAGATACATCGCATGCTGACAGCTTGCTAAATATTTATGCGTAGCATTCTTTATGTAGATACATTCACATGGAGCTGCACGCCATTGTCTCGCTTTCGTTTCGTTTCGTTTCGTATTATAATGAAAACAAAAGTATCTTTTCCACAAAGTACTCGCTGGCTGCCCGTCCGTCCGTCCGGGTGTCTGTCTGGGTGGACACGGCATAGCTCTAACTGATTTATGCCTAAACAAATTTTACTCGCATGCAAATTTGGGTAGAACCAAAATGCGCATATTCAGCATATCTGCGCCCATATGCTGCAGGCCAAAGATACAGATACATATCCTATGGTGTATCTGTGGCCAATTTATACAACAACGCAGTTACATACGTAATGAGATTGGCAGCTGCACAAATCGACTATCTGCTAAGTGCTTCTAAAAGATATTGTATCTTTTTTTTTTTTTGATTATTTTTGTTTTGTTTTTTTTTTTACCTGGGTATTGGCACCGCAACTCGACGCGCAAACGTCTTGGATGTGACAATCAAACGCGATGTTTTCATTAAAAACTCCATTTTGTTGGATTTGCTTTGGATTCTATCTTATACTAGGTATTTTAGTAAACGTCTCTTTTAGTTTCTTAATCGATTTAAATTGGATTTGAGTTAAGTTCCAATTTGAATTTGTTTTAGGTTAACTTGAAATGTTTTATATTAGGTGTCAGTACGACAATATCAAAGAGATGCGGTTCAAGCTGTGTTTCCTAAAAGAATAGAATAGAATAGAATAGTGGGAAAAAGTTAAAGCATTAGTCGGGTTAGTTTAGGACCTTGTTTATGTAGAACCACTTTGTAAACCACTTGCAATGCTGCACAGATACAGCCCACACACACAAATACTATCATTTGCCACGTGACTTGCTCTAAAACAACCCAATTTGTATGATTTCACAATTTGACACGCAGCTGTAGCTGCATTTTAAGCAGAGATTATAAACTTTTATGGGTAGTTTGTCGAAGAATGCCAGAAATTGTATACTAAAACCAGTTCTAAATTAAGAATCAGCTGTGTCAATTCTATAAAACAGCACCCAATAATACAACGTGCTTCAAGCATATCATTTGAAAAAGACTCCCATTTGTTACAAATAAATAATATATGCAATTGAAATATATTCTAATTTATTCGGACACTAAATTGAAATATAACAAAATAATTAATCTGAGTCAACTATAAAAAAGAATTGCTTTTCAAAGTATCAAATGTGATATACGAATTTACATTCAAATATTTCAATGGAAAAATGGTTGAACATGTACTTAATCTAATCACGAAATGAAATCAATTATCACGAAATGGGATCAATTATAATATTATAGCTTATTGATTAGATTTAATTATGACGCCAATTGAGTTATCTCAGAATAGTAATAATTGTGCTAATTTCGAAATCAAATGTTTGTCACGAAAAAACCAAAAACCTACTAAGAATCGAGAGAGTATAAATATTTATCTAAAGTCCCCTTATAAAGTGTTTGGCATTCTTTTTCAAAGAAGCCAACTAAAAATTGGGTATAAATATTTATATTAATTCCTCTTATTATTACATCAGAATGTAGATTTTTTTTATTTTTAAGGCATTTGAAAATTGAACATATTTAAATAAGTCTGCAGACTCTTCTTCAAATTAATCGATTTAGTGTAGAAGTTGGCAAATATTTATCTATAAATATATATATAGATATTAATAGACGATTGATGTATGGATAATATAAACAATTGAGCATTATTAACCGCTGTTATTCCTCTTTGTTGCCTTAACGATAAGACAGCGACAAATCTTGTAATTGTTGATCATAAAAATATTTTTTGCACGAATTGTGCAAGGTTAGTTATATTTTTGACTTGAGCCAAGTGTATGGAGGTCTGATTGATTGCCTAAGAACACTTGACACTCTGTCAGCGTGTGTGCCCATGAACTTGATTTATAAACGCAATATTGCCGCGGGCTAACCAACAACAACACCAACAAGAGCAACAGCAACAGCAACAAGTTTTTGAAGCACGCCCGCTCGCATTTATCTCTCTCACCTCACAAGATACAACAGCAGATCGCGCGGCAGCGGCATCGGTGTCTCATAATCAGAGATTGGCGGCAACGTGTCTCCAGCAGCAGCAGCAGCAGTAGCAGCACCAGCACCAGCAACAGCAGCAACAGCCGCGGCAGCAGCCACAGCCTCGTCTCTGGGTGTGGTCAGCTGCCAGTCGGGTGTCTCGATTTCCATTTCCAGTTTACGTGCGGCCAGACGCTGTTTCATTTGCGTTGTCGAGGTCATTGCCGAGGTCTTGGCCAGCGCTTCCGCGATCTCATACTGCTTGAGGAAATCCTGACGCAGCTGCTCACCATCCTGGCTGGCCAGACGCCCCGTCAGACTGAGACCATGGCGACAGTCCTCGCTGCACAAACGCTGACACATCTCGTTCACGGCCAAATGTGAAATATTCAAATGCACTGGTGCAGTGCAAGTGCAGTTGAGGCAGGCCACCTCAGTCTTAGCACTGCCCATTAATTCCATTGAGTCATTTCCGATTGGCGAGGGCGGCTGCTGCAGTTCCTCTGCTATGTCAAAATAACGCGGCGGTGTCTCATACTCATTGTCCTGGTCATGTGCAGACCCACTGCGCGCCTGATTGCTCTGCGAGAGATTCAGATTTAAGAGCAGGGCTGTCACTGGCATCGCCTTGCCCAGCGCTGGCTGGCGACGATGGCCCAAACGCTGTTCCTGATTATCCATGCTCAATTGCTAAACACTTTGTATTAAATATATACTTATTTCATTAGACACGCGTCGTATGAACAATATTTGTACGTTATGTCCGCTGCGAGTTTAGAACCGTTCGAACATCGATTGTATTAATACGCGCGTGCGTTGCTTTTCCTTATTTATATATCTTTGGGCCCGCTCTAGCCAGATCGAGGCAATCAAGTGGACGCTGCCTCGCTGTCTCGCTACTCATTAATTGAGCTTGTTGTTGCTTATGTTGTTGTTGTTGTTGTTGTTGCTTATGTTATTGTTGCTGTTGCTGTTGCTGTACAGTCATAAGTACATGAATTTTGCTACTCTCTGGCCGACTGTGCGCTCCTCTAGTTAAGGCAAACGAGATTTTGTGCGCGCACTTTCCAAAATGTCAAAACACACAATTAGCAATAAAAACAAAAATTTAAAAAAAATTGCACTAATAATAAGAGCAAAAATAATGATACCTACAAATGATTATTTGTTGTTTATAAATATATAATTTAGTTTTTGCTGTGAGCGTTTATTGTTGTTTTAACTGTAAGCCCTAGAGTTGAGCTGAGTTGACGACAAGATTTGCATTTACAACGCTTAAATGATTAATTCGCGTGTCTATACTATGCAAGATTACAAGGCATTCCAACGGATTGCCGCATGCTCAACTTTGTGCTAGCTTGAGCTAGCGATAAGTATTTCATTTAATTAACTCTTTGTAAGTATTTTGTTGAATGCACTTGTATGTCAAAGTGAGAACAATTGGCCCACATGTTTTATTCGCCGCAGTCATAAATCTTGCAAATATCTACAAATTGCACTTCTAAAGGCGTTTCAGCTCACACTTAAATAATTAGCTGGCAAATGTATAAATTTAAATAATTATCAAAACAAATCAATTGTTGTCTAAAGAATACACGTCGATAGTACATTAATTAAAATCGTTTTAATAAAAGTAAACATCTCATTTGAAATTGAGCTTAGTCTCAATTTAATTATTTACAATATTTGATAATGTTAAATATTGCTTTTATTTTCTACACTCTTACTGAGCAATTTATTTATTTGCAATATTTGATAATGTTATATATTGATTTTATTTTCTACACTCTTTCTGAGCACTTGTTTCTTATGCTTTTCACCTTCAAACCAAATTGCAGCTAATAAATTCTCATAGAATTTTACACTTGCCCGTCACGATTAGCATTCATTCAAGTGCAAATTAATTGAATTGAATTTTATTTAATTTCATTTCATTTTCTAATACAAAAAACAAAATTGAATTTATTTCCGCAATATGCAAATGCAAAATTTCTGTAAATTGTTGGGGGCTAATTGAAAACAACAATAAAACAGTTTGTATTTTTTACAGAAATATGTTTAAAATGTTTTTATCATAAATAGTTTAGCTAAATTCTTGCTAAAATGATTTTAATCTAATAAGGCGCTTTCTTCGAATAGATATGGTCTCAATTTCAGTGAAATTTCTCCATAGAATTTTAAAAATAAATCACAGTCCAGATTGTCGAAAGTGTTGCATATATTGGGGCTGTTGTAAAAATTCTAGTTCTTTCAATGGCACAACGTATATCAAGTGGAATATGTTTGGCTGGTTTCTATTGTTTGATTAGCTGATAATCAACAAGCTGATAATTAAACACAGTTTCTCTCAACTATAAATGCCTCAAGGTGGTTAAACATTAAATAATTTACTACCTATTCTGTGGAGTATTAGTCAGAACTAAGTAATTTAGGATGCTGGTGCTAAATAGATGATAACATATTACCTGTTTTATTTGATTCTATTTTATTTGTCTCTGAATTCTTACTATTTGTTTTTTGTTGTTTATTTTTTGGCAATCTAGTACGGAAAGCGTAGAAAAATTAAGAAGAGCACCGTCCGTCATTGAGTTTTATTTATATGTCCCAAAACACATTTGTATATATTATGTATATACGTTGAATCTATATATATATATATATATATATACATATATAAAGATATGTCTCGACAGTCGTCAACGTGTGAAAATGTTTCATGAACTTGACAATGTGCGATCAACTCTCAGGCCAGTTCAATGAAAGCGTTTGCATTACTATGAGACCCATAATGGCAATGTCTGTGGGAGAACGGCGTAGTTGGGGAGAGTTGTGGTGCACATCTAACACCTGTCATCTTCTAAGCCAAAGGTGAGCGATCGTCCTTCACACTGGCGTACCTTGTTACATTGTAGATTTGCGTAGGGGTAAAAAAAATACAATATAACGCGTCGTCGTCTGCTATAACTGATAACCTTATCAACAGACGGAAGATATTGCAAAATAAGTAGCTCGACAATCGAATACCCTATATATTCAACAAAGGAATGTCTGACTAATATTGAAATGAATTCATTTCGAAACAATTTTCAAATAGATTAATAAACTGCATCGAGTATATATAAATTCTAAATGCCAAAAAGTCCAGACATATTTTCAAAATTATTTGCATTGCCCATTAGGCGTAGCTACTATAAATCTTTTAGAAGCTGTGTAATCCATGTATAATATATACGTACAGCGTATTACATTGTAAAATTTAATGCTTAAGTACCCTTTGTGTGGCGAGTGGAACGAGATGATTACCATATGTGATTTCGTTACACAACATCAGCATTGGAGCACATGGTCGGTCTGTCGAGCATATCGCTCATTGGAAATAACTGGTTCTGTACCGGCGTAGACTGAAACTGTCCGCCTAAAGTTGGGACTCTACACACACTACACTACTACGACCAGTAGTATATCTGACTTTAATTGCTCATCATGTGTACCAAAGGGGGTGTAAACGCATTGCAAGTGGTTCTGGTTCTGGTTTTGGTTCAGGCAGCTGTTTGGGTTGTCTTTAATTTTGCAGGTCTTCAACTCACCATTGTTATGCCTGTACCACGCCACACCACATTATCCAAACGGCGATATATTTATATAAATAAATATATGTATATAAATAAATTATATAGATATATATCTATTTATTGCGAGCACGTTGGCAAAAGTTTGCACTAATTTTTAAGACGAGCGTGTTAAGCGAATTTGAAAACTGGCCCGTAATTTTTCTGACTCGAGGCCCTATTTAGCGATCTGCCAGTGATTGAATCGCGCCGCCAAACCGAAAAGAACTAAAAGCAACAATTGGTGGTTTGCGCCATTTATAGGGCGAGCGGTTCAGTCTCCACTCTCGCCATGTTGGCTAACTGATAAGGATGCAGTCGTGTTCTCTCCACATACACTGCGAGCAGAATCATTTGCAATATGATGTATGTAAGCATATTGCACAATGTATGCTAAAACAGAGAGCAAATATTTACTATATTCACTCTCCCACTCTCTCTCTCTCTCACAGCGTCTATCTAACTAACTCACTTGTATTAAGTTCAATGGCTCAGTCTGTCGGGGAACACATGCTGTAAGAAGCAATGATATAATAAACTCTGAGGGGTCTGATTAACGTCTAGAAGTGTAACAAATTAATGATTAATAAAAACAACAAAAAAAAAAGAATACTTAGAATAAGCAATAGCGGAGAACGCAATGAAAAAAAAAAGCAACGTGCAATGTAAACAAAAAAATAAGAAAAATATATTACTAACGTCAATCTAATGTTTTGATTAAACTTTGAACAGAATTTGTTATTTTAAAGTGTAAAGGGAATACACGAAATGCAAGTTGTTAATAAATAAAAAAAATATAAACCTAAAATCAAATATAATTAAATACTATTTTCTACTATTTTTTAGTATTTGTTAACGTGACACAATTTGTTTAGTTTATAAAGGAAACTCAATTTAATGTGTCCTGCTTGTTACTGCACTGAACACGCTTGAGTTATATTATTTTTAACAGATTTTTTAGTCAAATAACAGGAAATCGTCTTAGACAATCTTTAACAAACCGATTCAGCGAGTTGTAGTTGAGAACATTAACCGGAAAATGTTTGTCGCATCTGGTGTCAAAGGTCACTGCAAATATCTTATCAAAAAAAAAAAAAAGATGACGATAAGCCATTCACAAGACGGCCCAAAAGCAAACCGCACCAGAACTAATTGGTTAAATATGCGCATTAGAATATGAATATATAGATATATAATATATAGCGCCGGCCGGCCAGTCTGCTGGGGCAATCAGTCAAGGGTGTGGGGTCTAGACCGCTATTTGTTAGAAACGACTGCCGTGGATTTAATAGTGTACACAGTTAGTGGTCTAGCCGTACAGATTAGATTATTATAGATTAGATTTTACTGACGGCCTTGTTGAAGTGCACCCAAAATTCATATTTATTCAACGTGGCCTGCAACAAGTTAGCACATTTATCTGCAGTGTTCTCTAATATACACACACACACAAATATATATATATATATATATATATATATATATATATATGCAAGTGGCACACACTCTTCAGTATGACTGTACGTTCTGCTATGATTTGATTTTTGTTTACGTCAAGTCGCAGACAGCCTTATCAATTTGGGCAAAGTAAGCGTGCCACTTGCTTCTGTGTATGCAAACATACATTCACATATACACACACACATACATACATACCAACAAATGTATATTTTAGTATTTTGGAATTTGAACTGTGTGCACTTATCACTGAAAGTGTTTTCTAGCACTAGATTCGAGTGTTGCCTTATTGCATTTATACGAGGCCACTCAATCTATTGCCGGTTGCAACTGGTTTTATATTTGCACTAGTTAAAGGACCTTCAATTGCACGTGCATGCACTTGAAACAAATCGTAAATGGATTTGGGATAGGTAAGCAATCCAGAATCAATGCCTGATAAGCTACTTTCCCACTTAGGCGTTATCAAATTTGGAGAGTCATGTGCTGAATCAGCAAGTAAGAGCGAATGCTCGACTGGGGGATACCCTGAGCACATCTGTTAAATTTATTAAATCGATTAAAACACAGTTTCGACTTTGATTGCTAAATTGCTAGTTATGCTAGTTATATAAGAGTGCAGCTCACAAAAAGTAAAAAAATAGTACAATAATCCAATACAAAAACACATTTTGTTTAACAAAATCAGTGTTACTTATCCGAGATCTTTAAAAGACTTTTCCCGTTGATCAATAATGTGTCAATATATATTATATATCATTTGAAGTGTCATATATTTAAAATGACGTCTTTATTCATATTGAAAATCGAATTGTATCGATATTCGCACATCTGGTTGTTATCGATAAAATTAAATGGACTTGATATGAGCGCGGTATAAAAAATTAAATTGTTACAATATTCATGAGAATTAGATGCATAGCTGACTATAGAATACGACAGATTTAAAAAATTCTTCACCTGAAGAATTTTTTTTTTACATATCATTTGTATTTTAAACATGAGTCAACCTATACAACATTAGTTTGAAAAAGATACGTTTAATAACATGAAAAGAAGAATTGAGTAAGGAAAATAGTAAACATCAAAATAGTTTTTATATCACTTTCGTTATAAAATGTGGAGCAGTAGAGAAACAAAAATGAAAGCTAATTAAAGTATCCAATTGTTGTTATCACCTACATACAAGCAATGTGATAACGAGATAGGCGAGTTCAGTGAACCGATCGCTCCACAACAAAAGGACATCATTTCGATAACAAAAGTTAATTAAATTAATGTAGGCAACGCCCGCCTCAAAGCCACAAAAGGGCATGAGATGGTTTATGGACAGTGTCGCACCCGATTGCACAGGGAGCTGTTATTTTAATTAAATGCCCATTACCGTTGTCATCACTCGAGCACGTAAGCAGCCAGCGCCAAGGGTATTGGAGAGCAAAAGCAGTCAATTCGCCAGTGGCCTCAAACCCAAACAAACGGGGCAAGAGAGCTCGAGAGAGAGAGAGAGATGGAGAGCCGAACCGCTGCACGCTCTCACTCTGACTCATTTTGACAGTCTGAGTAACTCTTTCAGATGCATTGAAATATAAGTCAAAAATATTCTGTTTCTGTAAAAAAAAAGATATACATATACACACACATACACACACACACACAGAGACAGAGAGCGAGAGAGAGAGAGAGAGAGACGGAGAGAGTGCGAGAAAGAAGTAAACAAAATCAAAGAAGGTGACCGTAGAATGGTTTTATAAATGCACAAAGAGAATATTTAACGTGGGGGATACCATAAAAGCGGAAAAATTCAATAGCATGTAAATGGCTTTGCGCTCTGTGGTTGTTGCTGTTGTTGTTCTTGTTGCAGTCATTGTTGTGTCTTTGTATCGTGATTTGTGATTTTGTTGTTTTATCAATAATTTGTTTGGCTGCAGGGGAAGCTGGCGCGCCCAAATTAAAGTATTGCATTACACAATAAACTTACATAAATTTCTTGATGAACTTGTAGAATGTCACCAGAATGTACACTAGCATTGAGATTAGCTTCATATTTCGGTTTCGTTTTCGTTTTCGTTTTTGTTTTCCAAGTCAATAATAGTATTCAAATCCAGCAGCTGCGAAATGCACTGCAAACTGAAGTCAAGCCAATTGTTCAACTTCCAATAATTTCACTTTTCGTAACAAAATTTGGATATTATTTTTTTTCTTATATTTATTGTTTGATACTTTTGGTATTATTAAATGAATAATATTTTTTTTTTTTATTTCGGACGAATTTTATGCACTCAGCTGAAATTTCACTATCAATGTCATTTCCGCGTTGAACACGTTTTCACACTAAGCTGACTCAAAAAAAAAGGGAGACTACACGCTCTCTGCCGTATGTGTGTGTATGTGGCGCCGTCGAGGCAGACAAAGCGCAACTCAGACTATACAAGAGGCAGACAGAGAGAGAACACACAAAGAGAGAGAGAGAGAGAGAGAGAGAGAGTGAGAGTGAGTGTGAATGTGTGTTTTGCAAGCAAAAAGAGCTGGAGCGCCGGAGCTATTGAAAGGGAAAGCATGGGTCAGCTTTCGGCTAAAGTTGACGAACTTGACAAAGTTTCATAGACATTTGAATGCGCTAATAGTTTTAGTTTTTATTCGCTTATAAATATTTAAAACATTTTTAACTAAATTAGAGAAAAATGGTTGGAACCTTATTATCAAAATATGCAATACTTACATACATGTTATCCAATAAATGTTTAATACGTTATTCTTTAATAATAATAGTATATTGGTTACAATATAATACGTTTCATTGAACCATTTTATTCAATAAATGTTTATAACTTTATTCTTTATTAATAATATCACACTAGATACTATAATACATTTCATTGCGCCATGTTAGCCAATAAATATTTAATACTTTATTCATTAATAATAATAGTATATTATTTACTATAATACGTTTCCTCGCTCCATGTTACTCAATTAATGCTTATAACTTTATTTATTAACAGCATATTAGTTATTATAATACGTTTCTTTGCTCCCATTCCACCTGTCTGTGGCACTTGACAAACCAATATGCCCTATAAGTGCAGCGCAAGCAGCAAGCTCAATTGTTGAGAGCGGTGCAATAAACTGTTGTGTGGGCGTTTAAGAGAAATAAGCAGCTGTTGGCCGAAGAGCATATGCAATAAAAGCTTAGTTAAGAGTAAGCAAAGCATTAGGCAGCATAGAAAGCTCTGAAAAGCTCTCCAAGCACTGTAAGCTCGCCACGCACTTAAAAGCTCACCACAGTGTCACAAATGCCAATGACTGATGGTGAAATCGAATATAAGATTAAAGCTTTTTAGAAAGCTTTAAAATAGAGGCTGAGTGCAGACCAAAAATTAAGTACGTAAACAAAAGTTTGCTTTAGATTATAAAATAAATTTTACTAAATATTAAATTCATATTTGTAAATGTAAAGGCTCAGTTGGCTAATAATTCGATGGCCTATAGTCATAGGCAGGTCCGATGCGTATCGATATATTGATGGGCTGATTCAAGTGATCCTTGATGCGTCTAAAATATACAGTTTATGAACGGAAATTAATAAAATATTTACACACAATCAGGTAAACAAAAGCCAAAAGCCTTATCTTCATTTCGGATTGGCCAATATATACTTACTGTTTATCTGCTTCACTCTCGTAGTGCTGATAGCCCTTCCGTCTGGCCGATTTATTCATGCGCAGCGATCGTCGCAGCTCTTTGGGCAGCGGCTTATTGGCCTCCCGGCGCAGAAGGTCGCCTAGCTGCTGGCATTTGACGGTGAATGTCTGCCATGCTAATCTGAGCAGTCTGGATCCTTTGGCGCCACGGCTCCGGCTCCCATTTGGCGGGGCGTCGTGCAGCCTTGTGCTGGAGACGGCCCACGAAGACATATTGTTGTTGAGCTGCCTGGCCGCGGACAAAGACTGAAAACTGAGAACAGTAAGCAGTAAGCAGTAAACAGAAAACAAAAAAAGAAAAAAAGAACAGTTAAGACGGCTGGCCAGCTGATAAGATTTGGCTTAGTTCCCTCTATCGACAATCGTTACAGGCCAATCGTCAATCGACGTTTAGGCGGAATATTAAAATGCTCTGCAACAATGAGGCGACTATTTGGCCATATCAATGACTAATTAACTAGTTCAAAATCAAATTACAATAGAGTCGATTACTATTTGAATACAGAAACAGAAATTCAATAATTTGCCATCGATGAAAGGCACAAAAATATTTTGTGTGGCCTGGGACAGTAATTGTGCTGGGCCTGGTCCCGGTCCGGTTTTGGGTACTGGTCCTGGTCCTGGTCCTGGTACAAAAACCAGAAAGGCAAATGTGTTGCTATGAATTTTTCGCAATGACAATTTTCAATAATATTTCCCAGCCTGCAGACAGCAATTTTTGCTTATCCCTCTCCCTCTCTCACTCTCTCTCTCTCTCTATATTTGTCTCTGTCTCTCTTTTTGTATATGCGTGCTTAGAGGATATGCCCAATGACAACATGTCCTGTAACAAAATACAAATAGCCAGCGTGTGCCGCCGGCTCGCATGTGGCCAACACCTCTGCCCTCTGTCTTGCTCGCTTGCTCCATCGCTGGCTCGCTGTGGCAATTGGTATGCCCCGGCCACAGCTGCCCCAGACTTGGGCCACACAAACACAACAGCAGTGCCTCCATCCACAGTGCCTGCAGCAGATATCTAACAAACAAAATTGCATGTGGTTTTACGCAGTTAGCCTACACTAGCCGGCTCAATGTGACTGGTAGTGGTGGTGGAAGGTGGTTGGGGGAAAGGGATTGGGGGTTGGGGGTTGGGGGTTGGAGGTTGTGGTTTTGGGGGTTTCTGTTTTCAGTCAGCACAGCTTGCATTGTTATAACGAAAATTCGTTTATCTGCACCAATTGCCACAAACAGCGTCAGCTGATGACACTTTAAGCACTGGCAGTTGGCTAAATTGGGCAAATGATTTGATTTGCCACGGATAAAATCATTCCATAGTTAGTAGTAATTATATATTTATATACTATATGAAAATTCAAATAAATCAGCCAGTTTACGAGTATATGTGATAGTTGATCGAATGGAACAACTATTTGGAGATTAGAACTCTTGGAAGATTATATCTTAATCCGATTTGCGTGACAAAATGCTACTCAAATTTGGGCAGAAAGTTAAGAGAGGGATCCAGCTAGCTCCCACAGGAGCAAACAGTCAGATTTTATATAATTTTGTCACTTTTCTAGATTTTAATATAAATTACATTTGGATATCAGCTACTTGTCTCTGGCTGTTATTTTGCATGTTCCTCTCGAATGGTTTTTGTGTTCAATAATTTATTCTTTTTAATTAATAGTTTTTTTCTACTAAGAAATACATATTTGGATGTGAACTTAACTGCTGTGATATTTCTAATTTGAACAGATTACTTTTGAAATTCACCGAATCAAAACAATTACTTAAACGAGACACACAGCAATGAAAGAGTTTATGGAAACTTGTAAATGGCTGTATGTGAATCATTGAAAACGATAAAATCAATAGCCCCCTTATGTCATTTACTTATATTTCCCTATCTCCCCAACTAAAATTGATTGTCTTTTGCCGTTTGTTAAAATCTGTTGGCTTCGAGCAACGTTTATTGATAATATGTCGATGACAATATGCTGCATTGATTGCCCGCCTCAAGCTGTCCCAAAGCTAACAAGGTAAGGTTTGGCCAAACAAGTTACATACACACGCACACACACACACACACACACATCGAAATACACACACACACACACACACACACACACATGAACTTATAGTTAGCTGCAGAACATTGCATTTAACATTCCATTTAAATACCAAATGGCAATAACGGATATAAAATATTTTATTAAAAGGTAGGAATCAGCAAGTTCAATGAGGTTAACTAGTAGTTACCCATTAATCTGAAGAATATATTGTGTATATAGTATGTTTTCTATGGATACTATAATTTTTTATATACGATTTTAACGATCGTCTTTTAATAAAAAATAAATAACAATTATTACCAAACTACTACAGAAAATGAATCTGGAACGGATCTAAAACAGTTAATGTACACCTTCTTTAAATTTTAAATTTAATGTTCCTACAAACTTGCTTATGTAAGAGTTGATAGATTTTATGGAACTGTGTGCTCAATAATGTTTATTGCTTTTTACTCTGTTAGTCAACTAAAATGCAATAATTGTAAATATCATACTTATTACGTTTTTCAACAATATGAAATGCATATATCTACATTTGTACATATGGATTGACATCAATCGGAGATTTATTACATTTTTAATAATATTCGTATTCGTATTTGGTCGTTTTTTGTGCTGAACTACTGAAGCTTATACGACCTACGCTCTTTTGGTTTTGATTTATTCATTTATTTTGCCTGGCTCTCGCTTCCTTTTAAATATTTTGCATATTTTTCTTCCTCTCATTTGCTTATGTCGACTGTTGCGCATATCAATCAAATTTGTATTTGTCAACCTGCGTCCCTCTGGTTTGTGTAATCGAACTTTATTTCTATTTGCAAATATTTGTTGCAATTGAAAATTAAGTTTTCAAGTGTGGAGTGAAGTGCGATTTGGGTAACAGTTGGCCACAAAATTAAATGTCCCTGTGCCCGTTTGCGAAACTAATGTCAATATGCTCAGCTTAAAGGCTGCACCAGCTGCTAAATTAGACCAACTGCAAAGAGAGGGTGCGAAAAAAAATAAGTTAAAAAAAAAAAAAACAAAAGTAAAAAGAATATGGAGAGAAAACTTCAAGGATTCGCTGCACGTTCGCATCTTTAACGCCATATGTTGACTTTTGCTACATTTTTGCGCACACAGCCATGCACATATCCTTTATCTTATATGCGCTATTTTATGCCTGCTGACAACAGCAACAACTACAACAACTACAACAGCAACAACAACAACATCAACAAAGTTCGCCGCTGGCCTACTCTTGCCGTTTTTCTCGTTTTGCACACACTCAAAGCGGGTATTATAATTTTCTTACAAAATATGTAATGTCTTCAAGGAGGGTGTATATAAATTGCCGGATCGTTATAGCCACATCTGACTATCCGTCTCTTTATATTGATAAGTTTACTGACTACATTTATGCTTTTTTTCTCCTTCGGCCCGGATTGGAATATTATATCATTTAGGTATCAAGGCAATGAAGACTTGAATTGTGGTTTGTTTTCATTTTGCATAAGCTTCTCAGCACTTTATTTAGAGATGTTCAGTTTTCAATAGAAGAAGTAAATTGATATTGAAGCAATTGGAAGGGTATTTAATATTCAATAGGCAATTGGAATGCAGTTCTTGCTTGTTTCTACTTTCAACAGTTTTGTTATTGTTGATACTGTGGCTGCTGTTTTGCTCGCCTTTTTGCCAATAGATTGTGTGCCACACTTTGGCATTTTATAACATAAACTTTCATTTATTTTCGCTCGTCTTTTGGCACATCTTTGCCGCTGTGGTGCCTGTAATGCGCCCATGTTGTTCCATCGTTCGCATTGTAATGGCCAGCCACATATGCTATGGCCACAAACAACTACACACAACTACACACACACACACAACTACACACACACACACACACACACACATACAAACTACTAACCACAAACACACACACACACATAGACGTTTGCATATATAAACGAGTACACAAGAAGTCGTCTGCTGTCTTGACATCTGTCTACCAAGCTCCCTCTTGAAAATCAACCAAAAAAAAAAAGAAAAAATAAAAGAAAAAAATGTACATTTGCATGCACATCAGCATTGGGCGTATGTACATTTATCTCGCTGACTGTGTCGGCAGCGGTCGCCAAAGTAGGCCGCCAGTTGTTGCTTAATGCGGCAAGGATATCAAAGCAGGCAGGCAGGCAGCATGTCTCTTTTTGGCTTAAGCCCGCCCAGGCCACAGTAGTAAAGAGCTCACACTTATGCCTGTGCCGCGATTCTCTGCTCAGTTGACTGCTTTTAAAGACTGAAAAAGTTTCAGTGAAGTTGCAAAGTTGGCTCAGATTGGAAAACATATATGTCCTTGCCATGGTATGCTATCTTCTTTAAGCATGAAAAGAGAACTTGCTTATTCACAATTCGGAATAAGTTTCCTTTCACTGAAACTCGAATATTTTTGATCTAATATGACAAAAGAATTCGATTGTATTTAGCTTCATTTGATGTTTTACCCTAAGTAATTAAAATTAAAACCACCTTAATAATTTACAAGTATGACTATCAGATTCCCTGTTTGAAATGACGATAAATGGGTAATTGAAAGCAGTTTAAATTGTGTGTGCTATTTTATTTATTATTTATGGATTGACTGGGCTGATCATTCAAAATTATAGCTTAATTTTCCAAACCAAGCAGCACACTTCAATTAATTAAATACTAATCTGTAGCAAATTTGAATTATTTATGATTTAAAATTAATTTGCATTGACTGTTTGAGGACATGTTTGACTGCTTCCTCTAAAATATGCTTCTATGCACTTATATTTTAGCTGCAGGTCTTTTCCCAGAGTTTTGCCTGCGTATTTTCTTATTTGTTTTCAATGCCGTAAAAACAAAACAAGTAATATAGCCTTATGGCTTCAGGGATATTTAACAACACCCACTCATGCATTTATCTCATACCTTCACCTACAGAGCTCCACGAAATATTTGAATATTAGCTGGAAAAAAGCAAATAAAAACAACTCAAAAAGTGTTGCCCTCTCCTCGATGTATGTTTTAGATTTGACAACAAATCCAATTCGCATATATCATTGGAGCGGCTCAGTGCGGAAACGAAGAAACTGTCGTTCCTACCTAGCCTTAGGCTGTCAGGACTGCCAAGTCCAACGGGCAGCAGGACTCTAAAAAGCCATTCTAACTTCGCTCTATCTATTTTATTTTATATTTTTTGCACATGGCAAACAACCCACACAATCGACCGACCATTTGGCTTAAATATTTTATGCAAATTTTCAATGTAATAAAAATTTCTCCATGCCCACACACACACATAGACACACACACACACACACATAAAGGCAAATAAAAATTGATGCCAATGCCGTTTGTCTTTCAATACATTTCTCTTGCTTTTGCCCCCCGCTTAAAGGCCCATCTATTTAGGCGTGTTTGTGTGCAAGTGCGCTGCCAATGATTTTCAATATGTTGCCACTCTCGGCTATCTGGTGGGGGGGTTGGTACGGTTATCTTGCAGTCAAGACCAAAACCCTTGCCACAGCAGCAGCAGCAGCAGCAGCAGCAGCAGCAGCAGCAGCAGCCTGAAACAAATGTCGAGTTAATGCTTTTGCTGACGAGGATGTCACCAATACCACCGACAATAAATGCCGCATGGACATGACCTCAATTGCATTCGCTATACACACACACACACACACTCACACACACACATGCACACACAGTCACAGACACGCAGACACACAGGGGCATACAAATTGGTTTGATCGACACCAATACCTAAGGGTTGTAATATATGCGAGTCAAAATCTCCATTCCCATTCACATCCCCATACCCTACCCGTATCCGAGTGACAAGGCCTGAGTAACACATTGCCATCACTGTCATCTTTTAGGCTGACAAGTGCGAGTGCGGCATTACGAGATGTCGTCGCCAGCGCGACTGCAGCAGTAACAGAAGTAGCTGTACGCCCAACGCCCAGTCACTCAGTCACCCAGTCACCCAGTTAACATCACACCCACCCCCACCCAGAAATCCATAGAGTCTGGTTTTTGTACCCTGCACTGATGGATAAGTGTTTAATGATGTAGTGCAAATTAGCAGACAACAATATGCCAACTGCCATCTCTCGCTGAGAACTACAAGTGTATATTAAGTTTGGCTACAGGGCATTAGGTAGTCGGGCACACTCGGCCCGTGCACTCTTACTTGTTTGTCGCGCTGCAGTTTTCCCTTTTGCCTGACGCCGACACATTTCCAGTTGGTTTTCACTTCACTCATTTTGTTCGTTTTAATTTCTTGAAGGCATCAACACATTTTGGGAAGGTATCTTTTCAGTCTGATGGCTTAGACTCGTGCCTTTGCCATATGTCTGGAAGCCTGCCTGGCTGCTGGATTCATTGTTGTGTGTTTATGATGCACTTAAATTTAATATTTAATTTTTATGTATTTTGACAGAAAATGCAGCTACAAAGTTTCCACATGTTATTTGGCATAAGCACAAAGGCAAGGCTGCTTGCTATAGATGAATTCAGACACATTACACGGTTTGGGGGTGAATTTTCGAAAATGTAATTATTAATGGACTTCATTATATATTTAAGAAAACAATACTATGATGAATTTGAAATACTACAATAACTGATATACAAAAACATAATTATAATGATGTTAATTTCAGAATATTCAATCAGTTTTATAGATTTGTTAATATTTCATTACTAATAACATAACATTGTGTGGAGGTAAATGCTTAGAGTTTAAAGTATAGATGTAATTACTAAATAAAAGTTAATTTTTAGCTTACAATTAAAATTTAGAGCTCGCACAGACTTACATTTACCTCTTACATATGTTCCATCTGAAAGTTAACTCATAGCCGGTCGTGATTAATTGCAGCTATCAGTATAGTTAAGATCGCCTGTCACATAGTGATACAGTTAACCCACCTACCCGACACACACATATATTTAATGTGGTAGTATATAGACTAAGCCAATCGCTTGCCCCATTTCAGCTGACGCACATTTTGTAGCAAAGTTCAGTGCGTCTCTGATGTGGCACGTGTGCACGTCTTGTTTATTGCCCCGTCTGGCAGCAGTGCTTAGCATTCCTTTTTTGTTTTGTTTTTTGTTTTTTTTTTTTGTTCGTGTATGCTTAACATAATTCCAATCAACAGTTTGTATCGATAAATAACATTAGCGGGGCAACCAACCCCATCCACGCAACGCGACTTGCCCGCTAATGAGGACCCCCCAAGAGCTACCTGCTGGAAGGGCCAGCGAAAAATGTCGAAGAGGAATGCGCTTTTCTTTACATAACATTCGAGTGTCTCGTAAAAATTTCAATTATCCTAAATGATTAACTTTGTTTATTACACTGGTGAGGTTGCCGGGCCGGGTAGGGTCTGGGGCGTTGCAAGGACGCGCTTCGTCCTGGCGCATCATTTATCAGTTTATGACTTGATTCTATTATTTATTGGCACTCGAATTGAGGGTGGCTGGCAGCAGGAAGCAACAGCGACTGAATGTCTGAGAAGCAGAGAACGGGCGGCTGCTTCGACGCCTCGTAATTTCAATTATAATTATGTGCAAATCGTAAAAAAAAAAGAGAGAATGCCACCTTCTGCGCCTTAGATAAAAATCACTTAGTGTGCGTGTGGCACACACACACACACACACACCCAGCCACCCACACACACACATACATACATACATGCAAAGTTTATAGCTAACAAAAATCGTTAATAAATTAAGCGGAAATATATTTTCCCAGCCATTGCCGGAGGTCATTGTTGTTGTTGTTGTTGTTGTTGTTGCTGCTGCCTCGCTCCATTTGGTCCTTTTAGCAAATACTCGTATAATGCTTCGGTTGGGTAATGGTTTTTTAATTTTAGTGTCGTTGAAATTATGGTCGAAACAATAATTTAATAAGTTAATGTCTTCTTCTGCTTCTTTGAGTCATCTCCCTCTCCCTCTCCCTCTATCTCTTTCCTTCCTTTCCTTCTCTATCGCTCTCTTTGTATTTTTGTTGCCAAAGGCAAAAGCTGCGCGCTGGCAGCGTAAACAATTTTCATTTAACCCCCTCCCCTCGCTCGTATGGGGCAACCAACAATTTTCTCACAGTGGCAACAATGTTATTTATGTATACAACTTGTTGTTGTGGTTGTTATTCTTGTTGTTGTTGTTGCTGTTGCTGTTGTTGTTTTGCAGCCAGCAGGTGGAAAGTTAGCGGGGGTGCAGGTCGCAGATTGTGGCTTTTGAGGGTTGTAATAGTCCTTTGTACGCCTGCTGCTTAAATTGTTTTCCCCAGTGGGGTGCCAAACAACTGCTGGATTGTTGCCATAGCCAGTGGCTATTAGCCACTACCCAGAACCACAACTTAAGTAACTGATAAACTTTAAGTATATACCTGTACAAATACATACATATATGCTAGCATTTGACTTGCGTTGATTGCCAATAGCTGCCTGCCAGGAGCTGCCTGCCAGGAGCTGCCTGCCAGGAGCTGCTCTTTTGTCCAGCTACCGCTACAGCTTTAAACATCGCCAAAATCATTTTCAATTTGTCTCCGTGGTTTGTTTTGTTAAATCCCAGGCTACCGACAACACTGCCCCTGGTTGCTTGCAGCTTGGAACCCTTGAAAACTCCATCAGACACAATTGCGCCATGTAATGGCCACAACTTTATGACTTGGATTTTTTTATTTCATATATCGTATGTAATTTTATGTTTTATGTTTTTCGGGCACATTTTGAAGGCTTACTGTGGCCAGTCAGCTAGCCAGGTTAGCTAGCCATTTTGCATAAATATTTTATTATACTTTACGATTTTGTTCTTTTTTTTATTTACTTTGCCCAGACCCAAAAACCAAAAAACAAATACAAAAAGAAAGCAAAAAAATATCATACAGACAGATTCAGGCTGCAGCAAATTTTTCGAAGCAAGCCAAATAAAATAACATGGGCAAAAAATAACGAGAATGACGACAAGCCTGACATGCCATGTGTCCTGTATCCTGTCTCTAGGTAGCCTGACATTTTCGGTTGTTGCTTGGTAAAAGCAACAAAAAAATAAAATAATAAAAAAGGGGGCAAAAGCCGAGTAACAAAAACACACACGCAAAACATAACCAATTTGTGTCATCATAATTGTAATTCGTAGTCGGCTGCTGCTGTGGCAGCTGTCTCGCTCTGTGGCAAGCAGCTTTCTCTCTCACAGCGGTACCGGCCAACTTGTACAAATAGAAAAGGAACCGCAATGCGAAATTCTGCATAGTATGAACATAACATTTTGGAAATTTCAAATTCACCTACAAAAATATATTTTACAAATTTTATAAATATATTTATTTTGTTTGCATACGCTGAAGCGAATTGATGGCAAAACAAAAACCGAAAGACGAAAAGAGATAGCGAATGGATAGGTGAGAGAGAGGCACCTATTACTTTTGTCAAATTAATTTGGCAAATTAAAAAGAGGTTGAACTAGAGAGCGAGGGATATATCGAGAGTCAGAGAGAGAGAGAGAGAGAGAGAGAGAGAGAGAGAGAGAGAGAGAGAGAGAGAGACTGCGGAAATACATCAATAAGCAGCTGGAATGTTGGTCATCCCAGACAGACGAAATAAAGGATGCAGGGGCTAAGTTCAAGTTGAAAAGGTGAAAAGGTAACTGTACCCTTTGTGCGCAATCAGTCATGAAATCCATTATGATGATTGTGGAAAGTATTTCTTGTGGCATTGCGCAAATAATCGTGGCCCCACCAAGTATTTAAAAAGTAATAAAAACATTGCCAAAAATGTGTTCAACTCAAATTATAAAGGTTTCGGATGGGAAAAACTTTGTGGCCGAAAAGGAAATTAATAATAACAAAAAGGACAACTATTTGGGCACAAAAGAAAATAAAACACAGTCAAAACAATGCGAAATCAAACAAAAAGTAAAGAGCCATTGCTCAATAACGATGGCAAAGTCAGCGCCAGCAGCAGCTTCCTCTATATTTAGGTGTGCGTGTGTGTGTATGTGTGTGGAGACAGAGAAAAGATAGAGAGAGAGAGAGAGCGAGAGAGAGGAAGAGAGAATAAGAGGAACTCTCATAGCCAGGCAATCAGCGCATAAGCACGCCCTGTAATCAAGCATAGACCCCTGGAAAGGACCCCAAACCAAGCTAAACCAAACCAAACCAAACCAACCGAATCCAACCCAACAAACCAAACTGTGGCGCAGCGTGGCAAATTTAAAAGTTTTATAATTAAAATTGGAAAAAAAAAACGGAGAATGGGTGGCGCATGTTTTCTCGAACTCACTGTGTGCGCAGACAATCACTGAACGTTCTCAAAAAAGACTAGAACAATTAAGTTGCTACATAAAAATTGTCGGCAACCGAAATTTCCTTTTACTTTACTATTCATTTTGTGTTTTATCTAAGCTAACCAAAATCCAAGAGCATATTATTTTTAAATTCAGTTCCAATTTATCGATGCGAAATCACATTCGGGAACAAACGCAACCGTATTGACTCTTTTGCTGACCAATGGCGCATGATTGAAGCTTTTCAACGTCATTTGCTAAAAATAACAGCAGCGATTTTGTACGAACAGCACTCCTTATATTGTATCATATGTCAGCTGCAAAGTGGCTGTGTCTGTCAGACATTCCCACAATGGCATCCCCCATTGCCATTCATTCTCCTGCTTGGCAATTGACGTTTATAATTGCCGCACTTATCATGCATGGCATAATTGCTTTGCTCAATTTTTCCAGACATAGCTCAATGAAGTGCAATACTTAGAAATACTTGAGAAATTGGAACACGTTTGATATAGACGTGCATCACTCATACGACAGAGAGAGAGAGAGAGAGAGAGAGAGTGAGAGAGAGACAGAGAGAGAGAGAGAGAGAGAGAGAGAGTGAGAGAGAGAGAAAGTGGGAGAGTATTGAATAATTCAATTTCATATTAGTTCATAATTAAGAGTAATTTGCGTGATAAATGGGCGAAATCAATTATTCGGCCAAGCAGCGTCGTTTCTATTATTGACATGGGCTCATATTAACCGTTATGGTAATCCATTAAATATGCATTTGTTTCAATTACCACACAAATATTTCACATGTGTATTTCTCTATGTGTGTGTGTGTGTGTGAATGAGAAAAATGTAGAAAGTTATTTTCATGCTAATTACAACTTCTAGAGACATGCAGCTGAAGCAGTTGTGTAGCTGGTACTTCTGCGCCAGTTGAAGATGTATCACTTGGGGCATTTAAATTTTCAAGTTTTAATGCAAAAACCACACACCACACACACATACACACACACACACTCGCTTGCTGACACATATGCATATATGAGACGCAAATTAACTTATGGAAACAATGCGACTCGCAGGCATCGCCCACATCATCAG